TATGAGGCACAGTGGGGAAACTAGACCCCAGGAATGCAAGGCTGGTTTGAAATTTGAAAATGAGTATCCTTCACTCTATTAGTTTAAAGAAGAATAAAACGTATCATCCATCAATTGATACGAGAAAGGCATTTAACAGAATTCTACATTAGTTCATGATAAAAAACACTCAGCAAATTATGAATAGAACTTTCTCAATCTGATAAAAGACATCTACAGAAAACCTACAGCTAACATACTTGATAGTGGAGAATAGAATGTTTTGTACTGAAGATCCAAAACAAGGCAAGGAGGTCCATTCTCACCACTTCCATTCCATGTCATACTAGAAGACTTGGCCAGTATAGGAAATCAAGAAGAAGAAAAGGCAAGAGGCTAGAAAGGAAGGGGAAAAATGTCCCTATTTGTAGATGATATGACTGTCTATATGGAAAATCCCATGCAGTGTACTAAAAAATCTATAAGTAAGTTTATTAAGATCGGAGAATACAAAGTTAACACACAAAGTTATTGATATTTCCAATATATGGTAGCAGTGAATGACTTGAAATGATATTACCAAAATAGTGCCACTTACAATAGCTTCAAAAAAGAAGAAAAAAAAATACTTAAGTATAAGTTTAGCAAAAACATGTGCAGTGTCTGTATGTGGAAAAACAAAATGCTGATGAAAGAAAGTAAGACCTAATAAAAGGAAAGGCGCACCATATTTGTGGACTAGAAGACAATATATTTAAAAGGTCAGTTCTTTCCTTCTGATCTGTAGATTTAATATAGTTCCAATCACAATGTCAACAGGATTTTCTTTTCTTTTTAAAAAAATTTTTATTGAAGTTTTGCCAGCATATAGTATGACACCCAGTGCTCATCTCATCAAGTGCCCTCCTCAGTACCTGTCACCCAGGTACCCCATACCTTGCCTCCCCTTCCACTACCCCTTGTTTGTTTCCCAGAGTTAGGAGTCTCTCATGTTTTGTCACCCTCTAATTTTTCCCATTCATTTTCCCTCCTTTCCCCTATAATCCCTTTCACTATTTCTTATATTCCCCGTATGAGTGAAACCATATGATTGTCCTTCTCCAATCAACAGGATTTTTCTAAAGACACAGACTGATTCTAAAATACAAATAGTTGGGCAGCCTGGGTGGCTCAGCAGTTTAGCACCACCTTCAGCCCAGGGCATGATCCTGAGGACCCGGAATTGAGTCCCACGTCAGGCTCCCTGCTTGGAGCCTGCTTCTCCCTCTGCCTGTGCCTCTGTGTGTCTGTCATGAATAAATAAAATCTTTTTAAATAAATGAAAAAAAAATAAAATACAAATGGTGAAACAAATTTTGTAAAACAAGAACAAAGTTGAAGGGCTCCCTACCCAATTTTAAGAATTACTCTAAAGATACTCATGACCAGGGGATCCCTGAGTGGCTCAGCGGTTTAGCGCCTGCCTTTGGCCCAGGGCGCGATTCTGGAGTCCCAGGATCGAGTTCCACGTCAGGCTCCCAGCATGGAGCCTGCTTCTCCCTCCTCCTGTGTCTCTGCCTCTCTCTCTCTATGTCTATCATAAATAAATAAATAAATCTTAAAAAAAAAAAGATACTCATGACCATATATAAAGATTAATGAAACAAGACAGAGTATAGAAATAGGCCTACACAAATTTGGACATTAATTTTTGACAAAAATGTGAATGCAATGCAATGGAAAAGGTATTCAATACAAAAAGAATAGTCTTCAATAAATGGTATGGAAACAATTGGATGTCCATACACAAAAAATGAACCTTGACCTCACAAAAACTCAAAAAACTTAAAGTGGATTATAATCTAAATATGAAATGTAAAACTGTAAAACTTAGAGAAGAAGGTGAAAGAAAAACTTTATGTCCTGGACTTAGGCAAAAAGTTCTTAGTTATGACACTAAAAACATCCATAAGAGGAAATTCTGATACATGGAAATGTGGGTAAATTGGACTTATTCAAAATTTAAAACTTTTGTTCAGAAAGACACTTAAGAGAATAAAGACAAGGTATAGACTAGGAGAAAATATTTGCACATATCTGACAAAGGACTTGTGTCCAAAATACATAAAGAACTTAAAAAAAAAAAACAGTGCTAGTTAAAAAATGGGCAAAAGCCTCACCAATGAGAATATATAAATGGCACATAAACACATGACAAGATGTTCAACATAATTTAGTCTATTAAGAAATACCTATTAAAATCACAATGAAGGGATCCCTGGGTGGCTCAGCGGTTCAGTGCCTGCCTTTGGCCCAGGGCGTGATCCTGGAGTCCCAGGATCGAGTCCCGTATTGGGCTCCCTGCATGGAGCCTGCTTCCCCCTCTGCCTGTGTCTCTGCCTCTCTCTATCATGAATAAATAAAATCTTTAAAAAAAAAATCAATAAATAAAATCTTTAAAAAAAAATGAAAAAATAAAATCACAATGAATACTAGGACCTACTATTAGAGTGGCTAAACTTTTAAAAATACACTAATGAGTGCTAATGATGTGGAGCAACTGGAACTCATACATTGCCAGTGGGAGTGAAAAATGGTATAGCCACTCAGGAAAACAGTTTAGCCATTTCCTATATAAAGTTAAATAGACACTTTCCATATGACCCAGCAATCCCACTTGTGAGTCTTTACCTTAGAGAAATATTACGTTTACCCCCAAACCTGTACGTGAACAATTAAACATCTCTTCCTAATCAAAAATTGCAGACAGCCCAAATATCCTTCAGCAGGTGAATGGATAAAAGTAGTACAGTAGCACCCCACCCACCCATAGTTTTACTCTGGTTTCAGTTACCCACAGTCAACTGTGGTCGGGAAGCAGATGATCCTCCTGGCATACTGTCAGTAGACAGGTCAGTAGTAGCCGAGGGCTACTAGGCTAGTACTAGACCTACTACTAGTAGGTCAGTAGAGCCTACTATGTTGTTCGCCTCACTTCACCTCATCACAGACATCTTACCATCTCACATCACAAGAAGGGTGAGTGAATACAGAACAGTTAAATTTTGAGAGACCACATTCATATAACTTTTATTACAGTATGTTAACATTAATTCTAGTTTGTTGTTAATCTACTGTGCCTAATTTATAAATTAAACTTTATCATAGATGGGTATGTATAGGAAAGGGGGGAGGACTACTATACGTTCATATAATGGCATACTGCTTAGCCATAAGAAAGAACTGCAGATAAGGCAACAACATAGATGGATCTCAAAGGCATTTATACAGAGGGAAGAAGCATCTCAGGGTTACATCCTCTAAGAAATAAGTGCCGCATGCTGTAGGATTCCATTTATATGACATTGTTGAAGAGATGGAACAGTGCAAAGATCATTGGTTGCCAAGGGTTGGGGATGGGGGAGAGGTGACTACAGAAGGGTAGCACAAGGGAGGTTTTTGGATCTATGGTTTTTGTGTCCTCATTGTGCTGGTTACATGTGCTGGAGTCAGTACATGTTACAGGTATAGTGACATTATACCTGTCACTATACCTCCCCCAAAAAGCCCATTTTACTCTATACATGTTTAATAAAATTTAAAAACATAATAGGACCTAAATGATTTTATACAAAGTAAAACCTTTGAAATCTTCAAGAAAGTAAGTATAGTCTTTGTACAGTTATTCTGATGAAAATGATGTAAAAGTGAATGTGGTCGTCTGACTAAAATGAAAAGACCTATTTTGTACCTTCCCTGGGCAGCAAGAATTTACGGTTGTGCCTGCTATTCAAGAGCATTTGACACCAGTTTCTTTTGCATGTTGAAGACAAAATCACCAGAGATTAATACTGAATCCCTTTGCTATCCTCCTTCTCTTGGTCTCTATTTCTTCAGTTCTTCCCTCAAATGAAGACTGAAACTAGCTATAGACCAGTTTTCCTTCCCTTTTATGTGTATGATGTTTCTTTTACCTCTCTTTGAGATGGGATTTAGGGTAGCCATTTTATCCTGTTAGATAACTCCAAGTGCTCCAGAGTTTTCCCTGGCTTTTCTAATTTATTTTTTTATTTTTTTTATTTTATGATAGTCACAGAGAGAGAGAGAGAGAGGCTGAGACACAGGCAGAGGGAGAAGCAGGCTCCATGCACCGGGAGCCCGACGTGGGATTCGATCCCGGGTCTCCAGGATCGCGCCCCGGGCCAAAGGCAGGCGCCAAACCGCTGCGCCACCCAGGGATCCCGGCTTTTCTAATTTTTAAAAAAATGACAACTATATTTTTAAAATATCCCTTAAAACTCTTGATCCCTGTTATTTTGTCTCTCTTTATATTTTTTTTCTTGAAGTAAAGTGTTTCTTTACTAAAGGACTCTTTTTCTCTGTGGCTTAGGAAGATTTATTCATCCTAACTGGAATTTTGCCCTGGTGTGCTACCTATGGATGCCCTGTGTTTGTTTACCTCAGTAATTCTCTGCACACTTGAATTGGAGTTGCCAGCTGGGGTTTAGGATAGTGAGAGGCTGTGTTGGTTGTCCTACAGAAATGGCCTCGGGCCTTTCCTGAATGGAACTCGCAGAACTCCGTGGTCAGCAGATGGCTTTTCCCCCTCCCTCAGTGTATCCTCCCCGCTCTGTCCCACCATTATATCAAAGCTTTGCATCCAAAAAGAACAGATTCAATTGTTCTGGGGACCTGGGATGACTCCTGTCCATTTTGCCTTTCCTTAGGAGGCCCTATTCAAATTGGGTAAATGGTCTGTAATCCGGAGGATCAGATTTTGTTTTATCAGCTATTTTTTTAAAAATCCAGCGTAATGTTGAAAATCTACTATACTCATGAAAGAAGAGTGCTTACTGTTGTTCATGATGCCTGAGCAGTGATTGTTAGTTTTTAAGTACAGGAATTTGACAGAATGTGAAAAAGTTCTTGGTATATAAGACTCACTTTTACTTTTTAGTAGTTTATTTTAGTATCTGATACTCTGATTATACCTGTCATTATTACAACAGTTTAAAAAAAAAAGTTTTTTCCCCCTTTTGTAGGCTGTCATTATTTGTATCAAAAACAAAGAATTTGAAAAGGCTTCAAAAATTTTGAAAAAACATATGTCCAAGGACCCCACAACTCAGGTAAATTTGATGCATTTTTACTCCCATGATGTAAATCCATCTCATTGTTTGTTGTGGGGGGGGGGGGGACAGGGAAATGGTTCTTTGTCAGGAATGTTATCTAAATAATCGGCATCTTTAGCATGTTTTCTTTTATATCTGGGATTGCTTACTGTGAGATTGGCTTTCCAAAATTTGTTTTTCATTATACAAATTGATGTAAATTATTTTCTTGCCCATTTCTGTCAGGTTTGTGACAGAACATTATTTAAGTGATCAGCACCAAGTATTAAACTATCATGTTCTGGAACACTTCTAACCGTATTTATGTAAATGCTGATCCTGCAGACTTGAGAATATGCCTTGGTGAGGGCTTAATTCCTCTATTTTCTGGTGTCAAAAGCTCTGTTAGTGCCCTGCTCTTTTTTTTTCCTTTATAAATGTAAGTTTTAGTTTTTTGAAAAGGTAATAACATGTACGAAATAAAATTCAGAAGGTACAACAAAAGAGCTTAGCTCATCTCTAAACTCAGCCCTCATTCCTCTCTTCATAGGCGACCAGTGTTTTTTTTTTATTTTATCCTTTAGAGATACTCTGTGCATATGCAAGCAAACAAATGTGTGTGTGTGTATAGAGACACGTATATCCATTCTTCCAGCTCTTCCATATGCACATGCGAGCATATTCTACACACTAATTTGAACATTTCTTAAATTGCTTTCTTAACATATCTTAAAGATTTTTCTATATTACCACATAAGGAGATTCATCATCCTTTTTTTCTTAAGTTTAAACATCTTTATGTAAACGTCGAAGGGTACTTTAGATCCTAAATTCTCATCTTTTTTTAACAGCTATGTAGTACCCACTGCAGCTAATCCGTAATTATTGACCTGTTCTTTGTTAGGCTCCCCTTCCTATATATGTACCAGTGTTTGCCTTTAATAGATTATGAAAGTTCTGATAGTGTCTCAACTCCCCATCATTGAATTTTTACTGGAGTTCTCCTTTCTTATGTTGCAAATATCGGTCCATTGTGCAGAAGCTGAGAAATGATCTCCTGAACATTATCCGTGAGAAGAACTTGGCCCACCCTGTTATCCAGAACTTTTCCTACGAGACCTTCCAACAGAAGATGCTGCGTTTCCTGGAGAGTCACTTGGATGATGCAGAGCCCTACCTCCTCACGGTGGGCCTTGGCCTTCTCTTCCCATAACCATGATGTGGCCTTGAGGATATGCAGGCAATTAGAAGAGGACAGCTCATTTTAGAAGTGGAAAGAGCTAAAAGACTTTGAATTATATGCACTATGTTTCTTAATTAAATGCCTTAAATATACGGAAGCAGAGATCCTGACAGAGGCAAATGGAACCCACCTGGTTCCCCTTACTTCCCATTTATACCTCCTACATGTGCTTAATCTGTATGGCTAAAATAAGGGAACACTTAAAATTAATGGTGATTCCCAAAGGAGCTGAAATTTGAGGTCAGTTTGGGAGGAAGAGTAGTTTGGCAGACAGGGTATGATGGGGTTGTTAACAGGAAAAAGGAATAACTGGAGGAAAAAAAATGTGACTAGAAATATAAAAAGGCACAAGAAGCCAAATGAAGATACTCTTTAATTGGATCAAAGTGATAAACAGAAAGAATGGCAGTACTGAGGCTCAGGACAGCATATGGAAGAATTAGAACCCGGTCTTCTAGAGGGTGGGCTGTGGTATTGGAAAATTGAATGAGGTTTGTTGTTTGTGTTTTTATTTTTATTCATCAACATTTAGAGAATGCTGACTGGCTCAGTTGGTGGAACATGCAACTCTTGATCTTGGGGTTGGGAGTTCGACCTCCACATTAGGTGTAGAGATTACTTAAAAATAAAATCCTAAAAAAAAAAAAAGAAAAAATATCTTTGCTCATAACAGCAGATCTGCCAGGCCCAGGTTAGGATAGTGTCAATGACCTTAGCAGGCATTTGTCAGATGTCAAATTATCTGCAAAGCAGATAGTTTGGGATATTCAGGAAGCAAATATCAGGATGGAGCAAGTATCAGGATACTTGAGCCTGGCCTACCATCCTTTCTTTTCTTTTCTTTTCTTTCTTTTTTTTTAAGATTTTATTTATTTATTCATAGAGACACAGAGAGAGAGAGGCAGAGACACAGGCAGAGGGAGAAGCAGGCTCCATGCAGAGAGCCTGACGTGGGACTCGATCCAGGGTCTCCAGGATCACACCCTGGGCTGCAGGCGGTGCTAAATTGCTGTGCCACCAGGGCTGCCCCCATCCTTTCTTTTGTATTTCAGATAAGTGGAAAATAACCTGCTACTCTTTCTGTGGGGGGAGAGAATTCTCAGTTCTAAAGACATCACTTGTTACAGATACACATTTTTTTTTAAATATTTTATTTATTTATTCATGAGAGACACAGAGACAGAGGCAGAGGGAGAAGCAGGCTCCATGCAAGGAGCCTGATGTGGGACTCAATCCCGGATTCCGGGATCAAGACCTGAGCCAAAGGCAGACGCCCAACCTCTAAGCCATCCAGGCATCCCCAGATACACATACCTGAAACAGAATGATACTGGACTGATTAGAGATGTATAACATTTCAGTCAGAGGGAGACAGATGAGCAGTTGGAGTTAAAGCAAGATTGGTCCACTCAGCTTTATGTGGTATTAGTAAGGATTTTCAGAGTTAATAGGCAAAAGGTGGTTATGGAAATACAGTTACAAAAAATTTCAGACACAAACTGAGACATAATAGAAACATTTGTTATCCTCAGTTTGAAAAAAAAGTCTGACTTTACTCATGACCCCAGAGGTATATTTGGCATTCAGAAACTAGATTAGGAATGTGATCAGAAGAATAGAAAAGGAAATACAAAGTACAATCATGTACTTATTTGTTGTCAAAAGATTAAAGAATTCTTGCAGTGTCAAGATGGTTAGCACTGCTTGAATTCTCCTTTAATATAAAAAACTGAGCCATGTTTTGAGGAGAGAAAAAGCAAGATGTTTGAGATCGTTCTTGTGAGTTCTCTCCCTTTCTCTGTCCTCCTCTAATTTATGCCTAGATTGGATTTGTAAGTGAACATGTTTGCATGTTGAGTATGTATGTTCTTGGTGAAAGAAGAGAATTAATGAAATTCTGTGGCTTCCTCTTCCTGATGACATCCTTCTTTTCCCAGATGGCCAGAAAGGCTTTGAAATCTGAGACTGCTGCCTCAAGTACAGTGAAGGAAGATAAACAGCCAGCACCAGAGCCTGTGCAAAAGCCACTCAGAGAACCTGTAAGGTGAGAAGGGTGCCCTTTTGCGATCTTTGGTGAAACACAAGGGTAGTTCTGTTGGAAGCGGTCTCCTTAGAGCAGAATCTGTTGGTTCCTCCTGGTACTGAAATGTTACTGGGTTACTTGTCCAGGCACTTTGGGAGTTACAGAGCATGCCCCAGGAAAATGAAAATCTTGATGACAGGATGTCATATCCCTGATAGAAGTTCCTGACTGTCTCTTCCTCAAAGGTTCTTTGCTTCTCTGTTCTCCTATCCTTGTCTTGCCCATATCTGTGCAGTACTTCTTTGTGGGTACGTGATCTCTTAATGCAGCGTTCAGACTAGTGAATCAAACTCCCAAGACAAGTTGTTAAAGCAGGGATCACAAGTTTAGATGTCTTTGGGGGCCCAGTAGGAAATGTACAAGCGTGAGTATAGAAAAATACAATTCAGAGCATGTGAACGTGAACCAGAGAGCATGCTTTTCAGCTTCATGTGATTATTGCTATGTGGGAATGTCCAAGGATGCCCAAACTTTGGTTCAAACTTTTGTGTGAGACATCTAGTGTTTTTTTGTTTTGTTTTGTTTTTAAGCTTTCTCAGTTTTTGAATGTTGCCAATTAGTCCAATTAAAAACAAAACTTAACATAGGTTAGGCAATAAGACCTTTCTGCCAGCTGAGTTTGGCTTGTAGGCTGCCAGTTTGCCCTCTCCTAATAGTTTTTGTTTAAACTATACTAATTATTCCAAATGATAGATTAACTTACTTTTTACGAAAGGCAGTTTCTCACTGTTTCAAGACTGTGTGGCACACTTCTAACTTGGAGAATTCTCAAAAGTCTCCTAAGTGTATTATAGGAGAAAGGAAGCAGAATGGAGACCAATCTTTTCCTTCTCTCACATGAGTGTTGGACTAGACAACAAGGTGAGATTCCTGGATTGTCAGTTGCCCAGACAGACTCGTAGCTATTAGGCACTACACAGAGTTCTTACTTAGTGGAAAAGATTCATTTGTTCATGCAGACACAAGGAGTTTAGCCCACCCGCTAACAAAGTCTCTTGGAGGGAAAGTGTCATTGGCCCCGAGTCCTTTAAGGTTCTCTCACTTGGAGTTTAAACTCCAGAGTTCAACTTATATATCATTTTTAAAGCTTCTATTTATGCTTATAAAGGGAAGCTTTATAAAGTTGTTCTGAGCAATTTTTTTTAAGTTTTTTTCTTTTAAGATCTTATATATTTATTTGAGAGAGAGAGGAGCATGAGCAGGGAGAGGGGCAGACATGGGGCTCGATCCCAGAACCCTGAGATCGTGACCCGAGGTAAAGTCAGATGCTCAACTGACTGAGCCACCCAGGTGTCCCTCTTTTATTTTATTTTTTTAATTTTTTTAAGATTTATTTATTTATTTATGATAGAGAGAGAGAGAGAGGCAGAGACACAGGAGGAGGGAGAAGCAGGCTCCATGCCGGGAGCCCGACGCGGGACTCGATCCCGGGACTCCAGGATCATGCCCTGGGCCAAAGGCCGGCGCTAAACCGCTGAGCCACCCAGGGATCCCCCTCTTTTATTTTTTATTTTTTATTTTTATTTTTTTTTTTAGAAACTTTTTTTTTTATTTTTTTATTTATTTATGATAGTCACACAGAATGAGAGAGAGAGAGAGAGGCAGAGACACAGGCAGAGGGAGAAGCAGGCTCCATGCACCGGGAGCCCGACGTGGGATTTGATCCCGGGTCTCCAGGATCGCGCCCTGGGCCAAAGACAGGCGCTAAACCGCTGAGCCACCCAGGGATCCCCCTCTTTAATTTTTTATTTTTTTTTTTTTTTAGAAACTTTTTTTTTTTAAATTTTTTTTATTTATTTTTTAAAATGAAGAGTCCTCCACTTGAAGAGTCCTCTGTCTCCTTTGAAGCTTTACATTTTGGAAAAGTGGTATTTGGATGAGCATCTATAATGGTGAGACTGATCTTTGTATATTTGCTTTGTGTGTAGGCAGTTACAGAGTACTCCAACCACCATTGGAATTACGACCTTGAAAGCAGCTTTCAAGACTCTGTCCAGTGCACAAGATTCTGAGGCAGCCTTCTCAAAACTGGACCAGAAAGATCTGGTACTTCCTAATCGAGTGTCCATGCCATCACCAGCCCTCAAAAACAAGAGACCAAGAAAAGATGAAAATGAAAGTTCAGCCCCTGCTGAGGGTGAGGGTGGCTCTGAACTGCAGCCCAAGAACAAGCGCATGACAATAAGCAGATTGGTTTTGGAGGAGGACAGCCAGAGTACTGAGCCAAGTGCAAGTCTCGACTCCTCCCAGAAGAATCCCAAGTATGAAGACCTTTGTAGCAGTTTTGGGGCTGGTTGGTGGTCCTGGTTGGGCTTGGTATTGCTTCCGTGAATGAAGTAACTTTCAGCTCAGTTATTCACCACCAAGGCTTACTCAGACTTCTAGAATGTGACTTGGGAGTGGGGAGTGACGACATAGCCATTCCTGCCAATTCTGAAGCCCCAACTGTGGGCTTCCAGGCATTGCACTAGGCGTGAGTGAGGATGGAAGGGTTTCAGAGCCTCCTACTCATCGCTGCTTTCATTTTTAGCAAACTTCTGAGTGCCCTGACTACTAAATATCAGTCTTCTCTGTTAAAAGAAATTTGTTTGAATTGGGCCACTTTAGACTTTGATCCTTAAAAAAGATTTATGAATATTTATAGTTTTGCACCTTCTTTGAGCAATTAAGACTTGGCAAATTCAGTAAATATCTACTAATCTCTCACATTCTGCTAGGTTCTGTGGGGCAGCAGTTAAACTGCTTTTATTTTGCTCCCCGTCATGACTCCTAACCTGGCTTTCAAGCTTTGCTACCCTTTGTGCCCTCTTATGGATCCTTCCTCCAAGCAAACTGGTTTGCTTGTTCTCTTTGGAACCCACTCTGTTTCTACTACTGTACTCTTCTTGCTTCCTCTTATTCCCCACAGTTGGACTATCATTCCTCCATCATTGCTTGTGAGAATCCCATCCATCCTTCAAAGGGAAGAGATGCTGATATTGATTAAGTACTTTCTATGGGCCAACTACTTTATTTATTTGTTTGTTTGTTTGTTTATTTATTTATTTATTTATTTATGATAGTCACACAGAGAGAGAGAGGCAGAGACACAGGCAGAGGGAGAAGCAGGCTCCACGCACCAGGAGCCCGACGTGGGACTCGATCCCGGGTCTCCAGGATCGCGCCCTGGGCCAAAGGCAAGCGCCAAACCGCTGCGCCACCCAGGGATCCCTGGGCCAACTACTTTTCACGTATTATTTTACTGAATCACTAGAATCCTCATTCTGTGACTGGTATATTAACCCCATTTTTATAGATGAGGAAGGTTTAGAGAAGTTATTGACTTGCCTGAAGTCACAAAGCTTAAAAGTGGCAAAGTTGGGCTTTGGGACTTTTTTTTTTTTTTAAAGTAGGCTCCACACTGGGTGGAACCTGAATGTGGGGCCTGAATTCAGGATCCTGAGACTCACTCAACCGACTGAGCCACCAGGATTTGGGATTTTTAATCCTGTTTGGTCTTGACTCAAAAGTCTGTGGCCTGTATACCACATACACCAAGGTGCCTCTTAAAATTCTGCCTCCATGAATCTCCCCTGGTCACCCTGCTGGTCACCTCATTGGTCTCCCAAGGCCATTGCCATTTCTACCACTGCTCTTTTGTAGTTATTTGGTGACCTGTGCTCTGACATGCATGTGCTAGGTGCCCAGAGAAGCTGTGACATCTAAATGATAATAATGCTCAGGCACAAATCTGCACTGTTTATACCACTACCTGCATCTGAAGTGAGTGAGTCATTGGCCAGGCAAGCAAATGGAGCTCAACACATTTTATGCTCATTTGATATACGATCTCCTTTATTCCTTGCAACAGTCCTATAAAGTGCCGATATTATTCCCACGAACAGATGAGAAAACTAGAGAGAGTGCATGGTTGTTGTGGTTTTATAAATGGAGGGATTCATGAAGGTTTAGACCTATCCACCTCTCTTGTGTGTCAAGGGCATGAAGTATGATGGGTACTCTAAAGCAGAGGTTGGCAAACCACAGCCTCTGGGCCAAATCCACCTGGTACCTGTTTTTGTAAATAAAGTTTTATTGGAACTCAGCCACAAACATCATGTATGTATTGTCTGTGGCTACTTTTGATGCTACACTGAGTTGAGTAATTGGAACAGAACCAGTAAGGCCTGCAAATCTGAAGATACTATCTGGCCCTTTACAGGAAAAGCCTGGCTGTAAAGGAATTGCATTTACCCTGGGAGCTCCAGGGAAGAAGAGTTGAGCCTGCTCAGCAAAGTTGTGGGTGGATAAGTCTTCCAGTGGAGCAAATGTTGAGCTGACCTTGAAGGATGAGTAGGAGGTCATCAAGCATATTGGGGGCCGGGGGCCGAGGCCACAGTAACCTCTTATATAAAGTCATAGGAAAGCCTAGTGTGCTCCAGAAAATGTCACGTACCCTGTATGGCAGGAGAGTGTAATGCACAGGAGGATGAAGAGGGAGAAATGCCTGGATGGGCAGATGGGCCAGGTCTTGAGTTCCTATTGTAGTCTATCAGGCAGAGGTTCTTAAGCTGGGCTTCGTATCACAGTTACCTGTGGAATGTTTTTTTTTTTTTTTAATTTTTTGTAAATTTTTATTTATTTATGATAGTCACAGAGAGAGAGAGAGAGGCAGAGACACAGGCAGAGGGAGAAGCAGGCTCCATGCACCAGGAGCCCGACGTGGGATTCGATCCCGGGTCTCCAGGATCCCGCCCTGGGCCAAAGGCAGGCACCAAACCGCTGCGCCACCCAGGGATCCCTGGAATGTTTAATAAAATACATAATTCCAGGTCCCTGAGTACTGATTTAGAAGGGGTAGGGGATGGGTCTGTAATTTGCTTTTCTAACCGTGCTCCAAAATAATTCTAATACAGCTAATCTGAGGGCCTGATGAGTTACCATCGATGGCTTTTGAAAAAGCACTGAGGCAAAGGAGACAAGAGCAGTGGCTGGAGACTGCTACCAGTTAGGTAGTCAGGACCTAGGGGAAGCTGGGCTGGTGGAATCGAAAGCAGGACTAGGGTATATCACTAGGAGGGCAGGGTCACAACAGCTAAGTTTTTGTATATGTCTGTGGCACTTGGCACAGGACAAGTGCTTATTAGATATTTACTAACAAAATAATCTTTGGCTCTTGCAACTTAAAGGGTCATATCCAATCTATAAAAGGCCAGCAAAGGGTTAACATTTTAGGTTTTCTGGACAACTTGTGTCTCTGTTGCTTATTGTGTGTGTGTGTTTTAAAACCCTTTGAAAATGTAAAAACCATTCTTAGTTCAAAGATTGTACAAAAACCAGCAGCCACAGGCTGTAGCTTACCGACCCACTGAGACCAGACAGCCCTCCTCTAGCCCATTCATTGCTCATCAGTTTCTAACTTTACCAAAAGGCCGTAAGGACCAGGAAGTGACCTGACTTCACCAGGACCGCAGAGCCAGCAAACAGTGAGATGAGGACCCAGATCTCCGTCTCTTCCACAGCAGAAGTTAGGTCGTATCAGACATTTGCTCAAAATAAATGCTGAGTTCAAAGGAGGAACAGGAGGTTATCAGAGTGATCCGTGCAGATTGTCTGCAGGAAGAATGAGCAGATATGCTGACAGACCCAGAGTTAAAATCAGTGTTACCCCAGCATGGGGATAAGCAGGTAGAAAACTTAAACTATAATCCTAATTTATAAATAGTAGTTAACATAACTAGTTAGTATCCTGAAAAGGAAAAACCTCATGTAATGTTTCCACTTATCTCAAGTAAATTGTTCTCAGAAATAACATTTTGGGGGATATGATCCAATTTAAACATAAAGGAAACTAGATGGTTCGCCATGTGTCTCAGCCATGTTAAGTGATTTCACAGAAAACTCGGACTCAAGGAATTTTTTTCAAGTCTATACTTTGTAAGTAAGCTTTCATTACTCATTTGAAAAACACCTAGCCAGCCAGAAATTTAAAAATAAATTTCTGTGTATAGTAGGGGAAGGAGACTGAGGTTTGTCTACTCTTGGTCAAGTTTCACAGGTCATTTGATCTATACAAATTCTTTAAAATTTAATTCAGATATTTTCCATGTTGTTTTGTAACAGATGTTATAGTTATGAGGTGAGGTGTGTGCGGTGTTCTGTTCCCAGGGCAGTTGTAATATTAATCAGACACAGTTAAAGTTGATAAGACTGACTGCAGTTTTAATTTATTCAATAATTCAGGTTTGGGTTTCCTTTTTTAGTTTTGGGACTTCTTTTGGTCACACTCAAGTGCTTAACATTTCATGTTCACAGGAAGGATTCTTACTTGCTTACTACTCTGATCTTCAATGATGTAATTTATTTGCAGCTTTTTTGATAATCCTGTTCTTACTTTAGCACATATTTCTCCAACTCCTGTTAGGGTATGTGTTCCTGTGCTAGTTGTTTGGGGTAGAGAGATAAAGATACAGCCCTTGCCTGCAAGGTGCTTATGATTAGGGGGTATGTTATAAAATGGCTGTTTAATAAAGTGGAAGCACGCCCACAAAGGCAGAGGAGTGGGGGCTTTTTGTATGTGTTGGGGGCCAGGACTTAGGGCAGGCTTCATTAAGAATTAGGCCTCAAAAAAAAAATGGGTAGAATTTTACTTGAGAGGGAAGGGAATCCCAAGCAGAAGGAACTGTAGTGAGGAAACTACAGAGCTTACAGAAGGAAAAGAGGAACAGAAGGCGTGGCTCTGCTGTTTGTGCCAATGTGGTTTTCGGGGCACAGTTGGACAGAGAAGGCTTTGGTAGCAAGAAACTGACTGGAACCAGACTGGATAATCTTGATTGACCATACAGGCTTCAGTTGAGGCAGTGAGAAGTGATCATGGAACAGAGAGGGGATGAGGTATTTTAGACTGATATGCAGGTGGTTTGGGAAGTGGCTAGGGACAGAGACTCCAGTCAAGAAACTAGTGTAATACTGGTGCCAGGTACTGCTTGGACAAGAGGAATGGCGAAGGATGAGAGTGCAGTCCAGAGGTAGGACTGGGCATGTCTTTGAAGGGCTAGGTGCAGTTTTCTCATCCCAGGTTAGAAGAATACTGAGACCTTCAAAATTAGAGTCAAAACCAAATAAACAAAAACAGGAAAATGAACAGATTTTGAGGGGGATAGTAATGTATTCACTGCTCAGTTTGAGGGATGAGCCTGCAGCCTGTAGGACGATAACCTGGAGATGCCTGGCCAGGTCAGGATTTAGGAGTGGTGTGTAAGTGAATCTCAACTGTGGTCACAGCAGAACAGGGAGGAGTACAGGCAGTGAGAGAGCCAAGGACAGAATATGGGATGACCCCAATGAATCTGTTTTACATCTTGTCCTCTTGTTGATCTCCCCTCAGAGTACCCAAAGGCAAGTGGAACAGCTCTAATGGGGTTGAAGAAAAAGAGACATGGGTGGAAGAGGATGAACTGTTTCAAGTTCGGGGTAAGCTAGGACATTCTCCTTGGTCCTTGACACTAGCTGAATTACAGATGTGTGTTATTATCACATTAATGTTCCAGAAACTGCTTGTCTCTGAACTAGTAAAAGTCCACTAAGTCCCTTATTGTGATTCATGAGGACTCAGTTTTAACACCCTTTCCTATTAAACAATGGAGACTGTCAAAGTAGCACTTTATACTTAAAGAGAATTCCTAAAAACAAACAAACAAACAAACAAAAAACCCTGGTTTTGTTTTAATAAATCCTGTATTGTAACTGATGTTCTTCCTAAAGTCTTTAGTTAGAAAAGGTAGATGTGGTCATTCCCTGCACTTCTTGTTTAAGTAAAAAATCTCTTATCAGTTTCAATATATAATTTTTTCTAAAATAAGAAACTTTACTTTTTCCATAATTAATACTAAAGTTCATAGCATTTGCAGTAGAATCTCTCCCACCACATACTTTGCATTCTAATGGAAATATCTAAGTGCTAAAACATAATCTTGGAGATTCGGAAGACTCTGGTGACACAGCAACAACTTTTTTTTTTTTTTAAGATTTTATTTATTTATTCTTAGAGAGAGAGAGAGAGAGAGGCAGAGACACAGGCAGAGGGAGAAGCAGGCTCCACGCAGGGAGCCCAACATAGGACTCAATCCCTGGTCCCCAGGATCAGGCCCTGGGCTGAAGGCGGCCCTAAACCGCTGAGCCACCCAGGCTGCCCGACACAGCAACAACTTTAAACCTCTGCCAGTCCGAAAGGGTTTTCCATAAAAAGTACCTTCATTGGCACAAACTTAGTTGGCAAGATCAGGATCATTCAGGAAATTGGGGAAGTAACAGAAAAACCAATAAAATGGCAAAGACTATTTAAAAAAACAATAGGATAAAAAAAGTTCTAGAAAACATCCACATACAGTGCAGTCCAAATTTGTCAGCTTTAAAATCTGCTTCCACTATCGTATGAAATACTTCATAATTTAAAAGTGAATAATCTCCTGTAAGTGTCCCTCTTCCTAAGCCACCTTCATTGTTTAGGAAGCACTGCTAGGACAGTAGCATTTGCTGAAGCAGACACTTGACCAAGTTTTATGTTTATGCAACTTTGCCTTTTCTTGCAGCTTTTTAACAGCTCTCTTTGACTTCCAGTGGCATGTCTTTTATACTAGTATACCTTCCTCTGGCCCTTAAAAAAATGTTGGTGCATTTTTTTGAGGCCTCATGTCTTACCATATGGTGAGAGGTTGGAACTTGAACAGATCTATGGTCTCTGAGTGGGGAGCACCAATTACTATCCTCATCTTTTGTTTAAGGAATTGAACCACATTTTACTTACATAAAATGGTCAGAGATTTGAAAATTCTGGTATAAAACAGTACATTTATTTCAAAGCAGAAGTTAGCAAGGGATTATAAAGCAAAAATTATGCACATAGGAGTATATAATACAGTTAACCCTCAACAATACAGATTTGAACTACACAGGTCCATTTACAGGCATTTTTAAAAAATAAATACGGTAAATACTAAATGTATTCTTAGGATTTACTTTTTTGTGATTTTCTTAACTTTTTCTCTAGCTCACTTTATTATAAGAATATAGTATATAATACATTTAACATGCAAAATATGTGTTGACTATATGTTATTGGTAGTGTTTCTGGTGAACAGTAGGCTATTAAGTTTTTGGGCACTCAGCATGGATTTTTGACTACACGGTGGGGGTTGGTGCCCCTAAACCCTGCATTCTTTAAGAAGCACCTGTAGATGACATGGTTGGAAGAGGATGAACTGTTTCAAGTTCAAGGGTAAGCTAGGACATTCACCTTGGTCCTTGACACTAGCTGAATTACAGATGCATGTTACTATCCCATTAATGTTCCAGAAACTTGTAGGGTTTTAAAAGCCACAGTCCCTCAGTAATTTTAGAAAATCATGTAGGTTTTATTAAAGAGCCTGAAATCCATCACTAACCAATATTTGTTGAATGTCTATTTATAAAACATTTGCTTTGGTTCAGATTGTCATTAGCTGCAATGATTGATATCTTGCCAACAAGGACAAAAACAAATTACCCTTTAATGATATCTTTTCTTCTCTCAGTGTTTGGAAATTTCAGTCAAGTTTTCCCTTTAGGATCATTTGCTAAAGAGACATCTTGTGATTTGTGCAGAGAAGGGTTAACTCTGAAATGAGTCTACTTTTAATGTTTTCCAGCAGCACCAGATGAAGAGAGCACAACCAGTATAACAAGAAAGCAGGTAATTTAAAATTACTTTTTCTGACTTTTTCTGGTTATGTGGGTAGAACAGAGATAAAATAAGTACGCACATCTCATAGCATAGGTTTACCCATGTACCTGTAAAAAGGTCTTTTGCAATTTTCACATAATCCAAACTAAGTTAAAGTAGTAGTTATTTTCTGGAAGAAGATTCTAGGACAGAAATCTGACACATTTTCCTGACCGTGAACAGCATACATTTGAAGTTTTGAATGCGAAGTGATTATTAGTTGAGGATGAAAGGCAGGACATTGAAAATTATTAAATGTCTAAATCTACAATGTTAACTTATCTCTGTCTTGTTTTAAAAATATACACCCTTCTTTTGGGTTCAGATTAATTGTCCTAGGATTCTTGAGCTTACCTCTTAACTGTATGAAAATATGAATAAGTTGGAGAGACAGGTTATGATGAATATTTTGGTCTTCTTTTGCAGAAGTGGACTGCAGAAGAAAGCGAGTGGGTCAAGGCTGGAGTGCAGAAATACGGGGAAGGAAACTGGGCTGCCATTTCCAAAAATTACCCATTTGTTAACCGAACAGCTGTGATGATTAAGGATCGCTGGCGGACCATGAAAAAACTTGGCATGAACTGAAACAGGCTTTCATTTCCACAGAATTCACAGGAGCATGGTTCCTAATAATAGCCCTTGATAGTCTGTTGTTTCTTTCAGAAGCTGGGCTGGGCTGAGAATTTTGGGCATCCTCCTCCAACATGGGGGAGGTCCCAGTTCTACTTCATCGCTGTTGAAGATCATGGAGCTGAGAAACAAAGCCAAGTCCACCCCATGTCCTTGGCAGAGATGACAGGCACATAGCTTGTACAGTGCCAGAATATCATTAGTATTTCCCTTCTTTAGTGGTTTGCTTGAATTTAAATCCCTGGTAATCAGTAGAACCTTCTCCTAGGAAATGGTGGAGTCTGTTAGGAGCCACTTACGATTCTGACCTGTTAAAACCAGCAACATGAGCATTATTTGGAGTGAACTTGTTCCAGATGAAGCTTCAGCCTTCTGATGCAAATGCAAAGGAACTTCATCTGTCATGAATCCAGGCTGATGAGAGACCAGTCCTGGTGGAATCAGAGTCTCTTTTAAAACTGTTTAGCCAGTTGTAACATTAATATCTACACCTGAGAGCCTTGGCATTTGCTCTTAATATTTGCTGGGCTACGTAGGCAGGTTTAACCTCCACCTCTCCTGTGGTTGAACCAGTGTGTTTTTTTGTAAAACAGTGATTGTAGATAAGCTTAGCCCTTTCCCCTACCTCCTCTGCCCAGTTCCTTTCCTTATGCCGAACTTTTAAAGCTTAAAAAAATCCTGACTGAATATAAATGCTTAATTCCATTCTTTGTGAAAGGGTTGCTTCCGCCTGATTCCCTAATTGTGCCGTGTTAGTGTCTTGCTCTAAAACTCAACATTCCCTTCTCCTTTTGTACTGTGTTGTGCTTGCTGTCTCTCTCAGACATTCTTAAAGACTTGTCTTTTTGGCACAAAAAAAAAAAAACAAAAACAAAAAACACCCCCCACCCACACACAAAAAAATTTCAGTAAGGTGTTTTCTGTAATCTTTTTTTAAAATATGAGAACTAATTTTTGTCCATAACTTGTAGCATTCTTCATTAAAGTCTTGCTTCTCTCAAATGTTAAGTAGCTATTTAATTCCAGCACAGCATGTATGAGGTAGCAAAATGTTGAACAAGCTTTGCTGAACCATGTTTACTATGTTATAAGAAGCTGATGTCAGACTGTATTGGATTTGTCCTTCCCTTCATATAACATTTTTGGGACAAAATTCCCCCTCTCTCACTTTTGAGTGAGTGAAAGGCAAAGTATAAAGAAATGCTACAGTTTTAAAATTCATCCTGTAGCTACAAGTTAGAAACTTTGTACAGCTTTATTATCTATTTACATGTTTTGGGATTTGGTACTACTGTTTTCCACCAGTTAACCCCAAATGAAGTTACAGTGAAAAAGTGAGACCCAGGTCTCTCTTGATCTGATTGCAACTAGTTGTGGTCTTCCTCTAAATGGGGTTAGGATCCAGAAGCTTTTATCTCCTCCACTCTCATATTACTAGACCATGCTCTCTAAGTAGAAGAGTGATGTTACACTTAGGGAAGTGATACATTTAGGGAAGTAGGATATCTGTCCTTCCCAGTGTTTCTCAAATTGAGAAATGTATAAGTCCATTAATACTTGTTAACATAACTTTAGGGATATTTTTATTATAGTATTCCTGAAATGTGTGCCAACATAAAACTATGCCTACAGCTTTTATAGAACTATAAAATGTACTGTGAATTGAGGATTGTTTTGCTGAATCTAAGTCACTGCTCATGACATGGGTAATGTTAAGACTGTAGCAGTGATAGGATGTGGATGGGGGTGCGGGGGGTGCCTATGCATTGAGAAGTGATCCTAGTCTCTCCCACCCTCACCTTAGCAAGACTGTTGTAGAGCCACTGTGCCTGCAGAGTACTATGATGTCACATGGCCTTCGCTAGAACTGAACACAATTATAAAGTCATCTTTGCGTAGTAGCTTGTAACACTTAAGGTATAACCACTTGGGAATCAATGCAATGAATTCTGACTTGGTTAAAAGGTGCTAATGCTGTTTTTGTTTTTTTAAGATTATGGCTGAAATAAAAACATTTAGGCACTGTCAGCGCTCAGAGGCGGACAGAAACACTGTCCTGGTAGGGTAGAATGTGAGATTCACTGGGGGCCCTAGCTGCACCAGCTATGCCTCTGGGACAGTGAGCAGCCATCGGAATCTCCCTCCCAGTGCTGTGGTGAGAACACATAGGAAGCAAGTAAGTCTCTTAGCTTAAAGCCAGCCATGAAGTCGGTGTTCAATGAGCCTTTTTGCTGCTGTGAGTGAAGAAGTCATAAATAAAAGAGGAAGGATTCAGGGTTTGAACAATATAGTCTTTAAGTGTGTTTTTAGAGGAAAAGTAGAATGAGGATTATCAGTGGAGGAGTTTGACCGCTGCCTCTTGCTCATTTTATTTGTCCATTAAAAATTTTGCACACACTTCTGTGCTGTGCTTTTTGCTAAGGTCTAGCACTGTGCAGAAAAAATTTTGTTGAAATAGTTTTGCCCCACATGTCTTATCAGAGCAATAGGCATCATCTAGCAACTTGATGTGAATAGGGGAAACAAATCTCCAGGAAAACGTCCGAATATTCAGATGGTTGTAAATAAACTTACCCAATGTTTATTCCCAAGAAGGAAGAACTGACACAGGATAGCCCACAGGAATGACAGAAGTGCCTCTTCTGAAGTAGATCCTCTCTAGCACCCATGAGGTAGGTTTGGGAAGCCACTGAGTTTTTGAGGTAAAAATGAAAGCTCTTCCTGTGAGCCAAGCATGGGAATATCCATGTGTGGCACTGAAATTGGCCTAAGTGTGACTTATATGTTAATAATTACCCTAGCAATTGTCCAAACTACTTGGTTTCACCAGACTGCAAGCAGTCCACCTGCAGAGGAGTCTCCAGAAAACAGCATGTTCCCTTTGCTTTTTGGAGCTGGACTGGTAGTTTTGAACCTAGTGACTTCTGCTAGGAGCCAGAAGACAGAACCCCTCAGTGGCTCTGGGGACCAGCTGCTTTTTGATGGAGCGGATAGATCTGACTTTGCCATCATGATCCCTCCAGGAGGCACAGAATGCTTCTGGCAATTTGCCCGCCAGACTGGCTATTTCTATTTCAGTTATGAGGTGAGTACATGGGCTCCTCTGGCCATACTGGGGACTTGTTTTTTTGCTTGTTTCCTTTTGTAAAAGTGGGTCAGGTTTTATTCAAATACAAGATTCTGGTTGTTTTATGCTGTGATGCCCTACCTCATAGTGAAATGGACCTGCATTCAGATGGAAACTCTTTTTGGATGAATAATCACTAGAACATATGGCTTGACTTCTGGGGGCAATGAAGGTGTGCTCAAAACCATGGGACAAACAGACTGCCTCTTCCTGGAAAGGTGATCATATATTAACTCAGATTTGGAGATGAGAGGGGAGAGAATCTATTTTTTTTTTAAATATTGAAACAATGTGGATATGGTACAAAATCAAATGAAAACTTAACATGGCCTTTGGCAACAGACCCTGAGATTTCAGTGTATGGGATTGGGGAAGCAACATTTACCCTTCTGCTTTACTAAAGAATCACTGGCTCAGGGTTTCTCTTTTTCTTCAGAAATGTAAATGTTTTCAAGTTGCCTGTTTCCAGGCCAAGTACATTTATCCATCTGTTGGTCTTTCACCACAGTGCCCAAGGATGGTGGACTCAGCAGTAGAGTCAGCAGTTGTTCATTTCCTTTGTTATCTTAGAAAACTTTTAGCTTTCTAAATTGTTCCACTCCACTGTAAGTCAAAGCTATTTTAAGTTAGCTTATTAGAGAAATTTCTTATTTCTGAATTTCTAAGAACAGTAGCTACTCGTCAGCTCACTGTAGCCTGGGCTTATCAAGACCCAGCTTGGGGACAGGTGCCTACTGAATGCCTTATTTATTTGCTGTCAAGTAGCAAGTAAGCCCAGGTCTGGGACTCCACCAAGGCATCAAAACCAAGCAGGTACAATCAAGAATTCTATAGCCAAAGACATACATATCGATCCATACACACCAGATGTACATTCCGAGACAGGTCTTAACAGGAGTGTTCCTGGCATTTTGGGCAGTTTGTCTTGCAGTAGTGTTTTTAACATAGAATGTTCAGGATTGCTATCTCCCCTCCACCCAGCACCTCTTGTCTCAATCCAAATTCCCAGAGAGAACTGGGCGGACCATCTCTGATGGAGAAGCACTGTGCTGATGATCAAGAATGTCAGTCTTACCAGTTAGCTTCCTGGTGATGCAACAGGGGCTTTTCTCCCCCTTTAATGTGTCTTGGCAGGTGCAGCGGACAGTGGGAATGTCACATGACCGGCATGTTGCTGCCACTGCACATACGCCACAGGGTTTCCTCATAGACTCCTCTCAGAATGTTCGGGGCCAGATTAACTTCTCTACCAAAGAGACAGGTCTGTTTTCATCACCACAGCTACTATAATAGTCATTAAGTTTCTTTGAAACTGGGTCAAGAATGAGGAAAGTACTGAAATTACTTAAGTACCTGAGATGTAAAAGCTCTGGCTTTTTCACACAGGGATGATCAAATGGTAGGGGGACTAAACAGCCTTGAACACCAAAAACCAGCCTTCAACATCAACATCAAATCTTTCCTGGAGATTGCTGGTGGCAGAGGACATTAAGCAGCAGGCAGTCTACTGGCAGATTGGGGCAGGGTCTCCAGGGTCCAGAAGCTCAATTTTTATCTCATTGTCTCCAAGTGATCAGGTTATGAGAAAGTCACCAAAACAGACCCACTTATAATATAGAATTCCAACTGACAAATGTATTCACAGGATAGCATTTCTAGTTATCAGAATACTTGAGCCAGTTACTAAACAGCAGACTCAGAACGAAAGGAAATGCATAGCCATGAAAATACCTACCCCTCTACAACAAAGCACTTCTCCAGTCACAGGAAATTTCTATAGCCAGATGGACTCTGTCCCCACCTTGGACAGCATGGGTCAGTTTTGTTTGGTCCGACGCCCCGTTCCCCCAAGACAGAGCACAAACTAGGGGAGGGGCTGAAGGAAAGGGAGAAGCAGACTCCACTGAGCAGGGAGCCCGCAGCACAGCGGGACTCCAGGATCATGCCCCAAGCCGAAGGCAAATCCTTAACCAGTTGAGCCACCCAGATGTCCCCAGCTCGGGGTAGTTTTAATTGCCCTCTCTACCAACCAGGAACCAGGTGTACGGGAAAAAGACAATGTTTCTCAACCAGGGCATAAAACAATCCTTCATTGTGTAGCACAGAATATTCAACACTCTAGGATATTTAGCATCTTTGGCCCCTTCATGCCAGTAGTGCCTTCCAATCATTTTGACAATCAAATATGGGGCCAAACCTTTCTAATCCCACTCTGCCCCACTCCCACACACACACAGGTAGCAACCCCAGTTAAGAGCCAGCCCTCGTACATATCCTAAACCATCAGTTCCTGTACAAACCACCTTGTAGAAATTACTCCGGCAGGATAGCTTTTCACATCATTTTTTTCTCATTTCAAATTCAAGATGGCATCCCCCAGCTCTAATGATGTACAAGAAGCAGGCAAACACCATGCTCTTAATTTCAACTCATTTTGCTAAGCAGAAGAGCTTCAATAAGAGATGTGAGAAACATAAGTTGAAAAACCTGAAGAAAACATTGTTTCCAACCTAGTATAGAACTAACTTGCTTAAATTTATTTACAAATTTACTAATTCATAGAACTAAGTTACTACTATTTAGCAAAACAATATTGTAACATACTTAGTAAAATAAGTTTCATGGAAGATCATTTAAGGTCTTCCACATCAAAAACTGGATCTTTGTACTTCCTGAGTAAAAAGAAGGTACAACAGTAGTACCTTTAATACTGGTAAACAAGTATCTCCAGGGAAATCTAGAGGGTGGTAGATCAACAAAGGCTGGAGATTTAGTAATGATCTAGGGATTCCTACAGGTTTTTATCAGCTTTGTCTAAAAAATCAGCAAAATCACTTTGGTTCTGTGCAAGTGTACCTCAATTTTGGAGTCTTCTATGAGGGGCCTGAGATGGACCACAAACAGAAGAATGAAAGAAAGCGACTGAATGATACTCTGGATGCAATTGAGGTAACTATTTTATGGGAGAAACATCTGTGGAAACACCCTTGGAAATCCATAATATCATCTGAGTGAAGGCTCATTTGGGGAGAAACCAAATAGGCATGGGGATCTAAAGCCTTTTGGAACTTGGAGCTCCTCAAATTCCTCACTTGTTTTATAACAGACGTTGGCAAACTATGGCACACAAACCACATCTGGCACACTGCCTGATTAACATAGAATTCACCATTTTAAAATGTACAATTCTGTGGTTTTTAGTATATTCCCAAGGTCTTGCAACTATCGCCAGCATCTAATTCTAGAATAGTTTCATTACCCCAAAAAGAACTCCGTACCCATTAGTCATTCTTCCTTCCCCCACCCCCCTAGTCCTGGGCAATCCTTCATTAATTAACTTTGTTTCTATAAATTTGCCTATTCTGTACATTGTACAAGTGAAATCATACAATGTGGCCTTTGTTTCTGGCTCCTTCCACTTGGTCTTGTCAAGGTTGATCCATATTGTAGCATCTATTAGTATTTCATTTCCTTTTATGAATAATTAATATTCTTTTCTAGGACTGTACCACATTTTGCTTATCCATTCATGAGCTGGTAGACATTTGGGTTGTCCACTTTTTGGCTATTATTAATAACACATACCCATGAAGTTTTTGTGTGAACATGTAGACCAAGAAGTGGTATAATCTGGTGGGTCATAGTATCTCTGTTTTAACTGTGAGTAACTGCTGTTTCCCAGTGGCTAAACCATTTTACACTCCCACCAGCAGTATCTCTTTTTTTTAAGATTTATTTTTTTATGATAGACACAGAGAGAGAGAGGCAGAGAGACAGGCAGAGGGAGAAGCAGGCTCCATGCCAGAAGCCTGATGCGGGACTCGATCCCGGGACCCCAGGATTGCGCCAAACCGCTGAGCCACCCAGGGATCCCCCCACCAGCAGTATCTGATGGTTTTAATTTCTCTACATTTTTGCCAACATGTCACCACTGTCTCTTTTATTACAGCCATCCTACTGGCTGTGGAGTTGTACTTTGCAGTTTTGAATGGTCTCCCTAATGGCTAAGGACATTGAGCGGTTTTTTTTTTTTTTTTTTTTTGCGTCTTATATGTTTTTTGGCCATTCGTAGATCTTTGGAGAACTCTTCAAAACCTTTACTCATTTTTAAATTGGGTTGTCTTTTTATTGAGTTGTAAGTTTTTTTATATATTCTGGATATGTCTCTTATCAGGTAACTGATTTGCAGACATTTTCTCCATTCTCTTTTCACTTTCTCGAGAGTATTTTTCAATGCACAAAAGCCCATTGTTTGTTTCTGTAGTGAAGTTTCACTGAAACACAGCTCTGCTCATTTGACAGTTACACATGACTGCTTTTGTGCTAACAGTAGCAGAGTTCGGTAGTTGCAACAGAGACTGCTTGCCTGCAAAGCCTAAAATATTGACTGTCTGGTCCTTTAATAAGAAGCTTGCAGGCCCTCATCTTCTACCATACACAAAGAACAGAAGACATCACTGGAATGGCAACGATGTCCGTACGTGTCTAAATCTAGAAATACTCTGGTAAGAGCTTTCTGGTTTCAGCACTGAAATTTTTCATTATAAAATCATGTCTTTTTAAACTAAAGTCAAGACCTTTTTTCATATACAGCAAAACCAGCTTTACTAACAACTACAATAACCAACTTATTACATATCATAAAATTATAAGATACTCAACTATCAGATAACTTAGATTAGTGCTTGTGAGCACCCAGGTGAGACTAGCTGGGAGACAAGGAGGACTCTTTTTTTTTTTTTTTTCCCCATTTTCTGGAGCAGCCCAGGTGGCTCAGCCGGTTGGTTTAGCACCGCCTTCCTCCCAGGGCCTGATCCTGGAGACCTGGGATCGCGTCCCATGTCAGGCTCCATGCATGGAGCCTGCTTCTCCCTCTGCCTGTGTCTCTGCCTCTCTCTGTCCCTGTGTCTCTCATGAATAAATAATCTTTAAAAAAAAATTTCATGGGGATCCCTGGGTGGCTCAGTGGTTTAGCACCTGCCTTTGGCCCAGGGCGTGATCCTGGAGTCCCAGGATCGAGTCCCATATCGGGCTTCCTGCATGGAGCCTGCTTCTCCCTCTCCCTCTGCCTGTGTCTCTGCCTCTCTCTCTCTCTCTCTCATGAATGAATAAATAAAATCTTTAAAAAAAAAATTTTCATTTTCTGGGCAGCCCAGGTGGCTCAGCAGTTTAGCGCCGTCTTCAGCACAGGGCCTGATCCTGGAGACCCAGGATCAAGTCCCACATCAGGCTCCCTGCATGGAGCCTGCTTCTCCCTCTGCCTCTCTCTGTCTCTAATAAATAAATCTTTTTAAAAAAAATCTCATTTTCTGTACCACAGGAGAGTACATGGAAGGTGCAGAACAATATCTTTCACATGTGGCGATACTACAACTTTGCCCGCATGAGGAAAATGGCTGACTTTTTCCTTCTCCAATCAAACTATAACTATGTGAACTGGTGGTCAGCAGCTCAGAGCCTTGTTATTGTTCTTTCTGGAATCCTGCAGCTGTATTTCTTGAAGCGTCTCTTCAATGTCCCAAAGACTACAGACACAAAAAAGCCAAGATGCTAAGCCACGATGACTACAGCACCCTAGCTCTTTTCTTCTGGGGCAGAAGCTTTGTCAAAGCTTCAGTCAAATGAGCTTTATAAAGTTATTGGAAAAAAAATCAATTTATCTTGTTAGAACATCTTAGTCTATTATTTTCCTTTCCTTTCCAATTTGCCTCAAAATGGCAATAAAATAATGTGCAACTTTTGATATTAGCTATTACTAAAGTGTGTACTAAATGCTACCATCAAAATACTATTCTTCATGCAGCAGTCCCTTAACCTTTACTAAGTCTATCTAGAGGGTTAACACAGAACCTTGGGAGGGAGAAGAGTTGAAAAAAAATGGGACAAAAACATATAAATCTCAGTTTACATGTTGCATACAAAAACATGGTTTTTTTTTGTATTTGAAAATTTTATTTTTAGAGATGTCACCTTTCGAATTAAAATAAGCAGGAAAAAAAGCAATGTATTTAAAGAAATGTTTTAAATACAGGCAGTTTCTTAAAACTTGGTAGAATTGGGATCCCTGGGTGGCGCAGCGGTTTGGCGCCTGCCTTTGGCCCAGGGTGCGATCCTGGCGACCCGGGATCGAATCCCACATCGGGCTCCCGATGCATGGAGCCTGCTTCTCTCTCTGCCTGTGTCTCTGCCTCTCTCTCTCTCTCTCTGTGACTATCATAAATAAAAAAAAAAATAAAAATAAAACTTGGTAGAATTTTTCAATTTTTAAAAAACATTTTAATAATTTCAAAAATAATTTTGGCAGGCATGGGCAAGGATAGAGGAGCTGAATTATTTCAGTGTCTGATTAGCGCTTTCTGTCTAGTCCAGTCAGGTTAGTAAAGGTTTGTAAGGGAAATCACATTTTAAGAAATCACGGTGATGAAAATAACATTAGCCTGGTACCATAAACATCTAAGAAAAAGAATAAGAACCAAGATGTATAATCAAACTATACTCATGAGATCCTATCCTTAGTAACAAATACCCAGTATATGCAATATAAAAATAATTCTTTCCATTTAATATGTAACATGAGCCAGGCATCGGGCTAAGTGCTTTACAAACATGATTTGTAATTCTAAAAACCATTCTTAGGTAGATGGTTAAAGCTGTTTTTTGAAAGAAAAAAAATAAGCTTATCAAAGTTTAATGATGCCTCCAAAGTCATACAGCTGGTAGGTGTCAGAACTGGGGTTTGAATCCAAGGTTTTCTTGCACACCACACAGCATCTGCTATATAGAAAATTAGCAGAAAAAATTAAATTACTTTATCCAAATTTCATTTGTAAAATCTCACATGTGACCTACCATTCTAATATGGCAGTATCTAACTTTCATGGTATTAAAAAATAATGAAGAAAATCTATTGTGGTCTTATCATGAGTTTGGAAAATAGTGTTATCACAGATAACAATAAGCTGGCTATTCTTGTCCTCGGTTCGAATGACTTAGAACCTGTTACTCAAAACAAGCAGCCCTCCGATTCAAATATAAAACACAGCATTCTTTTTAGTCACAAAGATCTGAAACACCATTTTTGAGCCATTTCCGCGTAAGAATCCAACCTGCATCGTCCGTAATAGTGAGAATATTAAACTAAGAAGTCCCTGAAGAAGTCACAGTGTTGACAAAATTCAACATGATGATGGAGCCTACACAGACACAGGAAACAAAGCTAGGCCGTTCCACACAGCCATAAGTCCTTGCGATGATTTCGTTTTAAGTCAATGTCTCTTCATGCCGCACATATTCCCCAATGTCTGCTTGATGAAATACCACAATCGCCATGGGGTCTACTTTCCTGCAGTCTTGTGTAGACTTTGCTGCCACCCCAAAACCCTGGGATTCAAAAGAAGAGACACTGATTCACTCGAGTCATTCAAAAGGCACGCATTGAGGGATAGAAATAATCAAGAAATGATCAAAAATATATAGTTCTTTAAGAAATTCGAAAGGTGCTGAGAATTTAGTCTCTGAAGCGCACAGATTGCATATACATCCTTCTTGATTAAAAAGATGCTCGGTTTTTATAACAGCTACCATCTCTACTCACCAAAGGGACGTCTGCCATGGAGTACACCACCACTCCCTGGTACTGGCAAGTATTTTCAGTGATTCGACCCAGTCCCGATTTCAACACATGGTTCCCATACAGGAAAGACTGCTCTGCTCCAGGCTTTATCCACACTTTATACTAACAAAACAAAACAAAACAATGAAATCCAAGAGACCTTACAAAGCTAACTGCTGTATCCCTACAGATAAGCCAGCTGCTGAGTTTGGGACTGATTTCTTGAAAGCATCTTAGGAGAAGAAAGAGGCATGGTCGGGTCATCTCAGATGGTCACTCCCTCAACAGACCTGCCAGGCGGTTCTTCAACTCTACGACTCACGGATTAGTTAAGAGCTCTTTCTCCGGATCCCACCAGGCTCTCGCCAAAGACACGGATTTGCTTTTCTTGAGAGCCGTCTGCCCCGGCGTTCCTCCTCCGCGGGCCGCAACCGGCCGCAGCCCCGCCAGGCGCACGCAGCAAGCCCTGCAACCCCTTCACTTGCCGGCACCGACCCGCGCACTGTCGCGGCCCGCGGACCCGCCTTCCGACGAGGCCCTCATCGCGGACTCCTTCCTCCCCAGGGCCGACGCGGTGCCACCCCACACACCTTGGCATAGGGTGCGAGGTAATCCAGAGCTGTGATGTGTAACCGGAATCTGTGACTCTTGGTGAATTTCCCGAAGCAGGTCCCCAGCGACACCAGCTTGTCCCCAGAGATGTTGGCGGCCAACTTCAGGATCTTCTCACTGAAGGGGTGAGGGGGAAGGAGGCGTCGACGAGGGCGGCGGGGGGCGCGTCCTCCCGGCCCGCTGCGCCCGGCGGCGCCGCCTCACCTCACCTCACGTAGTACACGCGGTCGTTGTGCAGCCTGAAACAGTAGGTGCCGTCCGGCCTGTCCACCAGCAGCTGGAGATTCTCGCCGATGCTGAAGGCAAACGGGGCCCTGCGGTCAGCGCCCCGCTCCCCCACGCCCTTCCCGGCCACGCACGCATTTCCCTCCCCCTCCGCGCGCTCTTACTATTTCGCCATCTTCTCAAACATCACGCGGGTCTCCTCTTCAGTCAGAGGCCGCATGTTGCCGCCGGGTCGCAGCGCCGGATCCGCCGGCCCCGGGGCCGGAAGCGGAAGTCGGTCGCCGGCCTCCCCGGCGGCCTGGCCGTCGCTCCCCGCGCCCGCGCCCCCCGCCCGCCGGCCCGCGGGGGAGGAGAGCCGGGCGGACGCGCCCCCCGGGCTGCTTCCGGCCCCAGGCTCCGAGCCAGCGCCCCCGCTGGGCCGGAGGGGAAGTGACGCTGCTGCCGGAAGATGGCGGCGCCGGCCGCGGTCGCTTCGGCCGCGCTGACGGCCGCCGCAGCGGCTCTCGGGGAGGTGGAGGATGAGGGGCTCCTGGCGTCGCTGTTCCGGGACCGCTTCCCCGAGGCCCAGTGGCGGGAGCGCCCCGACGTGGGCCGCTACCTCCGGGAGTTGAGCGGCTCGGGGCTGGAGCGGCTGAGGCGCGAGCCCGAGCGCCTGGCGGAGGAGCGAGCGCAGCTGCTGCAGCAGACGCGCGACCTGGCCTTCGCCAACTACAAGACCTTCATCCGCGGCGCCGAGTGCACCGAGCGCATCCACCGCCTCTTCGGCGACGTGGAGTCGTCCCTCGGCCGCCTGCTCGGCCGCTTGCCCAGCTTCCAGCAGAGCTGCAGGTGCGGCGGGCCCGGCCCTCGGGGCTTGTAGCCATTGGAGTAGCTGACGCTCCCCTAGCGCTTCCCCTGGGTCGGGCTCTCCTCCGAGCGTTTTAAAAATTCCTCTAAACCGCGCGCCTGCTTCCGAGGTAGGTGCTGTTATGCCCATTTCGTGTATGAGGACGTTGGGACAGCCGAGGGGCGCGGCGGGTAAGCTTCCAAGTCGGAATGGCGAACCGCAGCACGTCCCGCCCCGCGGGACCGTCGGACGAGAGAAGCCGCGCGAAGCACCTGCACTGGGCCGGACGTAGCTGAGCCTGCACGGCCCCGCCGTGGTCCACTCGCAGGCCGGCCCAGACTTTCACGGACGGAAGGCTGACCACAAAGTCTTTCCACTTGGAGCAGTAGCAATTATCAAAAAGTCTCTCCTTTTACTTATTTAGATTTTATTTGTTTATTCGTGAGACACACACACACACACACACACACACAGAGGCAGAGACACAGGCAGAGGGAGAAGCAGGCTCCACGCAGGGAGCCCGACGTGGGACCCGATCCCCGGTCTCCAGGATCACACCCTGGGCTGAAGGCAGGCGCTAAACCGCTGAGCCACCCAGGGATCCCCGAAGTCTCTCCTTTTAAAGCCACATTATGCCTCTCTAGATCCTTAGCCTGTTATCATTAATTCTGCTTTTCAGCCTTTAACGATAAAAGTTCAAGTTTTGAGTCCTTGGACATTTCCTCCAGAATAGGTGGGGGGACCTCATAAAGCAGGTCTCGTCTCTGCAATTACGGAGAAGTGAAGACTGGAAATAAAAGTTGAACAGCAGCCTAAGAGATTGAGGGAACTTGAGGGTAAGGTTGTAGCTTCTGAGCTGGTTAGTGATCACAGAAAAAAGTAGCTAAGATTAACATTTACTGTGCGTCAGGTTCTGTGTTAAAGCGGAAGTCGGCCGCTGGCCTCCCTATTGCCGTGGCTCCCCACGCCCGCGCCCCCAGCCCGGCGGCTGATGCTATATACATCCTCTTATTTAATCCTCCCATCCTTATGAGGTGGGTGCTAGTACTATTTTACCAATGAGGAAAAAGTTCAGAGAGCCTGAGTACCTTGCCACTGCCAGTTAAGTGGCATATCTGGGTTCACATATTTTTATCGTTAGTTGTGTGATCTGGGACAAGCTGCCTAGCCTCTCTGGGATTAAAATTGCCTCAAGGGCATCACAGGTTTGGTGTGAAGATTAAATCATAGTTCGCGGTAAATGCTTGGTAATTGTAGCTAAGTTTTGGATGTAGAGCAGTGAGCGACCAATATTCTCTTGTTTACTAGAAACTTTGTGAAAGAGGCTGAGGAGATCAGCTCCAACCGCCGGATGAACACCCTGACTCTAAACCGGCACACAGAAATCCTGGAAATCCTGGAGATTCCTCAGCTAATGGATACCTGTGTCCGGAACAGCTATTATGAAGAGGCCCTGGAGCTCGCAGCCTATGTACGCCGACTGGAAAGGAAGTACTCCTCCATCCCTGTCATCCAGGTAGCCAGACTGCCCCCAGAGGACTGGAACTCATGTTCTTATAATCAGTAATTCTGTGGTCATCACTGAACCTTCAGGCGGAAAACTTAGGGAAACTTTGCATGTTTCATATTGGTTTCTGCCAGCCAGGCAGGCTTGAACATGATTCATTCATGCAAGTGATAAGTGGTAGTCACCTGCCAGACACTGACCTAGGTGCTGGGGAGACAATGAGACAAAAGCAGACAAGGCCCTAGCTTTCATGAATGTAAGCTGACATTTGATAAATAAATAATATGATCCTTTGAGATAATGGTAAGTGTCTAAAGAAAAGAAACTAGGGAATGGGTAGAAGACTAGGGTGAGGTACCCCAGGTAGAGTGGTCAGGAAAGGTTCTGCTGGAGAGATGAGACCCAGATGAGAGGGAGCCGGCCATACGAAGATGTGGGGAAAAAGCAAACCAGAAAGTGAAAGGAACAAGTATAGCAGACTGAGGAGGGAACAAGTTGGGAGTGTTTAAGGAATACAAAGATAGAAGGGGAAAAAAGGAAAGAAAAATAAAGACAGCCAGTGCGACTGGATTGCAGTGAGCAAGAGGACAGCTTGGGGAGCAGGTGAGGGAGGAGAACCAAATGGCCTGTAGGCCACAGTGAATAATTCCAGCTGGCCACAGCAGATGAGATCTTTGTTGGTTAGCCTGTAACATCAGCTATGTCTTCATGTATCCAGAAAGCAGTGGGCATGCTGATCACTATTCAGGGTAGTGGGCTGGGGTCTCGGAAGTGTCTTTCCCAGTGTGGTGTGACTGAGCCCCTATATTGTCAGGGCATTGTGAACGAAGTGCGCCAGTCCATGCAGCTGATGCTGAGCCAGCTAATCCAGCAACTAAGGACCAACATCCAGCTCCCTGCCTGCCTCCGTGTCATTGGCTTCCTGCGGTGCATGGATATCTTCACGGAGGCTGAGTTGAGGGTGAAGTTTCTTCAGGCCCGAGATGCTTGGCTCCGTTCCATCCTGACTGCCATCCCCAATGATGATCCCTATTTCCACATCACAAAAACCATTGAGGCCTGCCGTGTCCATCTGTTCGATATCATCACTCAGTACCGTGCCATATTCTCAGACGAGGACCCGTTGTTGCCCCCTGTCTCAAGTGAGCACACTGTGGATGAGAGTGCCATCTTCTATGGCTGGGTGCTACAGAGAGTGTCACAATTCCTGCAGGTGCTGGAGACCGACCTTCACAGGGGGATAGGTGGTCGTCTAGACTCTCTGCTGGGTCAGTGCATGTACTTTGGGCTGTCCTTCAGCCGGGTGGGGGTTGATTTCCGGGGCCAGTTGGCTCCTGTTTTCCAGCGGGTAGCCATCAGCACTTTTCAGAAGGCAATTCAGGAGGCAGTGGAGAAGTTCCAGGATGAGATGAATTCCTACACCCTCATCTCCACTCCCGCCATCCTAGGCAGCAGTAACCTGCCTGCTGCCGTGCCAGTCACTCAGCCGGGGACCCTGCAGCCACCCATGGTGCTCTTAGACTTCCCACCCCTTGCCTGCTTCCTCAACAATATTCTGGTTGCCTTCAATGATCTGCGCCTCTGCTGCCCTGTGGCCCTGGCACAGGATGTGACGAGGGTCCTGGAGGATGCCCTTGCCAAGGTGAGCACATACTGCTGGCTCTCTGTTGGGGCTTTCTTTGGTAACAGGTGGCCAGACTTTAGCAAAAAATAAACCAGTCCATGTGATAGGTGGTTGCAGACTGAGGCTTAGTGGGGTTTTGGAGATTTTTCTGATTGAGGAGCTCTGGTTAGTCCCCCATCATGGGACCTAGAACAATTCATGTAATAATGATTCAGTAGTGTATTAGTTTTCTACTGCTACATAACAAACTCCCACAAGCATAGCAACCTAAAACAACATGCATTTATCATCTTATAGTTTCTTTGGATTGGGAGTCCTGGGTCCTCTGCTTATGATCTCACAAGGTTACAGTCAAGGTGTTGGCCAGGCTGCAGTCTCATCTGAAGCTTGGGGTTCCCTTTCAAGCTCATTCACGTTGGCAAGTTTCTGTTCTTTGCTGTTGTAGGTTTAAGGCCCTCAGGTCTTAGAAGTCACCTCACTCCATAGGCAGTTCACAGTGTGGCTGATTCTTAAACGCCAATGGAGAACAGTTCTCCTGTGTGAGTCTCTTCTTTTAGGGAAGTCCTTAACCCTTTTTTTAAGAAGCTCATCTGATTAAGTTGGGTCCAAGGATATCCCTTGATTAATTCAAAGTCAACCGATTAGGGGCTTTAATTACATCTGCAAAATCCTTCACCTTTGGATTTTACATGAGTTAGAAACAAGCTACACATTCTGCCTCTAATCAAGGGAAGGGATTACACAAAGGAGTGGATACAAGGGGATGGGAGTCAGAAGAACCATCTTAGAATTCTACAGACCTAAGAAATACAACTAATGATATCCTGCACATTTTTACATTTTTAAACCTTTAGATATTGGGATGCTTCTTACAACTTATGGCATCTTATAATTGCCGTCAGCCAGGTGGCAGTTGTGACGTGGTTATGCAAAATCTTTCTGGGCCCAGACCTCTTTCTCTTGAGCTTGGTCGCTCTCATATCTCAAGAGTGTACTTTTTGCTTTAATAAACTTTCCCACTTGTTACCCAAAAAAAACCCCCAAAACCAAAAATCTGTTAATAGCCTCCTGTAAGAGGAAGAAAGCATGAGCATTGAAACTTTGTAGTCATTGAAATTCAGGGATTGGTAATTTATATATATATATATATATATATATATCTTATATAGAATTGAATTTACTCCACGCCAGGTTGTGTTCATCATACTTTATACCTATTAAGACTTGATCCTCGCAACCCTAAGATTAGATCCTGTTGCAGGCCCCACTCTATAGATAAGGAAACTGAGGAACAGAGGGCATGAAGTGTTTAATCTCTTGCAAGTCACAGAACCAAGTGGCACAGCCAGGACTTGAACCAGGAAGTGTAGCATACCCC